TCAGCTGCCCTAGTGACTCGGGCAGCACAGATAACTTTTTCAAGTCTTGGAGCTTCAAGAAGCTGAGGTTTTCCAGCCGCCCGAGGGAATCTGGCAGGTTGGAGAGGCCGTGTATGTGGGTGAGGGTGAGGGAAGAGAGGGCAGAGAGCGCGGAGAAGGAATCAGGGAGAGAGGAGAATTGTGAACAATTACGCAGAGATAGGCTGGTGAGACACGCCAGGCCCCAGGGCTGCTGTGCGTTGCGCTGCTCCTTGCTGTGCTGTGGCTGTGGCTGTGGCTGTGGCTCGGTGGACTTATCGGTATGAGTGCAAGCAGTGGTGGGGCCAGCAGCAGCGGCTGTAGGAGCGACAGTGGCAGAAGCAGGAGCAGGGTCAAGAGGAGGGCGAGGGGCAAGGTCAGGAGGAGGGGCAGGGGCAGGATTAACGGAGAGAGCAGAAGCATGGGAGCAGGTCACGCCTAATGCGGGATTCGGAGCAAACAGAGGGTCTAGGGACTCGAGGCGAGGGCAGCCGGTGATTTCGAGCTCTTCGAGGCGCGTCAGCATGGCCAGCTGCGGGGGCAGCCGCCTCAGTTCACTGCAGCCACGCAGGTAAAGCTTCTGCAGGCTGTGCCTCACATTCCCCGTGCACAGGCTTTCGGGCAGCTGCAGCAGACGCACACTCTCGATTTGCAACGACCTCAATCGCTGTAAGTTGCCCACGCTCTCGGGCAGAGCAGAAAGGTTGCGCAGATTGACCAGCACTAGCGTTTCAAGGTGTGCCAGAGATCCGAGATTGTCAGGAAGAGAGGTGAGTGCAGGGCATGCGTGGATGGCGAGGGAGGAGAGGGGGAGGGAGCAGATGGTGTCCGGCAGGTTCTGGAGGGACACCCAGCCAAGGAAAAGCTTCTCCAATCGCGTCATCGCCCCCATCACATGCTCGGGCAGGCACATCAAATGCTGGGACTGCAGCGACAAGGAACGTAGGCTGGTGAGATGCTGAAATGAATCCGGGATTAACTGCACGCCCATCACAATTTCTAGGGTTTGCAATTGTGGTAAGTAACCAATCGAGCTGGGGAGGTGCGCGAGGCTGCTGGTGGAATCCGGGAGACCTTATAACGGCGACCCTGTATTGAAGCGGAGTTCCCGTAGCTGCTGAAGCGCGCCGATGTTTTCGGTTGGCAAAAGCAGATGCTCAAAGTGATCGTCGCCAGTGCGGCGGCAGAGATGGAGGGTTGTGAGGTCGGAGAGGAGAGAGACGGCGGGCGGGAGGTGCGTGAGGTGGTTGAGGGTGAGCAGGCGGAGGTCGCGGAGCTTGCGACAGCCATGGAAGAGAGACGTGAGGCCGTTGCAAGTGATGTGCAGGAGAGCCTGGTAGTGTACGGTCAAATGTGTCAAATGCGGACACGTGGCGCCCACGCATTGGAAGAGAGCATCGCCGTTCGGATTCGAAACGTGACAGTACCGAAGCTCGAGGTGCGTGAGGGAGGAGAAGCTGCGAATCGTGTCTAGGAGAACGGAGAATTGGATCCTGGATTTGATTTGGAGGTGCGTGAGCGAGACGCGCGCTACGGCGTACCATTGCTTGGAGACAAGCGCGTAATGGAAGGAGTCGCGCGTTAGCGAGCGCAGCACGAGCGAGAGAAGATAATTATCGGATAGGACCTCCGCGATCGGTGAGGGAGGAGAGGAAGCAGTCCAGAAGGTGGGGAAGAGGGGAGACGGCACGGTACGGTTCATAGAGTGTTAAAAGTGGTTCGCAGCTGCACCGACTTTACAGCATGAAAACGACAAAAATAATATTATGGGAGCTACTACGATGGTAAACCAGCTGTGTCGGGAGATGGTAGAGATGCAGCTCCGTCAAATCTCCATCTCTTCACCATCTCCCAATCAACCAACGGGAAAAAAACGAGGGTGAAAGAAGAGAAGGTTCAACCCTGCAAGGAAGTATTCGGCGGAATTCAAGAAAGTCAGTTTCATCATCGGTTTCGGTTTGAATTTCATTGTCGGTGTCAGTTACGAAATTCGTTTTCACTACGAGGCGCGTTACGCGAGGCGCACTTATATTTGGATTTCGATTTGCTTCGATTTGCAGGGTGCACATTCAACGCGACTCCAGGCTAAATTTTGGCCGGCATGTTTGCGGGAACTGCTGATTGGTTGACGAGTAGCGAATAAATAGTTGAGAATGGGCGAGCGTGGGACTTTTCGTCCGTGAGAGATGAGGCTCAGCAGGGGAGAAATTGATAACACTTGAATCTAGAAATTGGGGATCAAGGGGAGGGCAACTGGGGTGGCGGAAAGGGGAAAGGGGGTGAGACGATATTGTGGGGAAAGGGGAAACAATTTCGGTGGGAGCGGAATAGGTATGGGGAGGGGGGAAAGGAATTGGCGGAAGCACATTCGATGACTTTGGGCCCAGTTCGGCAGCCACGGAAGAAGGGCGGAAGAAAAATGTTTCCGTCTTCTTCGAAGCTTCTAATCGCATTATCGAGGGCAAAACAGTACGGGCTGTAGGGTAAACTTTCTGGAAATCGAAACGCAGGTGTTTAGCAACAGCGACGCGAACACCTCCAAACATTGCTTCCGCGCCGTCTTCTGTCCTTATTCTCCCCCCTTTGGCGGAAAGGTTCCGCCCTAGTGAGACGGAAGAAGAAAGTGATGCTTTGAAAACAGAAGAATCAACTTTTTGATTCCACCTGGATTCACTGTTCACGGGCCAACATTGGACCCTACAAAGGAAAGGATTACTACATTAAAAAACACAATGATCGTTTTTTTGAAAGTTGGATTTCCCCAACAGCATGGGGCGCAAATCTTTTGTTTTTTTCTGGCGAACCTTTCTGTTCCCGCTACAGTGCCCTGGGGCAAGCACATTTGAGGCCAAATTTGCCACTCTCCTGCGGCGCCTTTTCCCATTCCCCCCCCCCCAATCTGCACCAGCTCCCCCATGGCGCAGGTTTTCCGCGGAGCAGTCAACCCAGGGTCAAAATTCGTTGACCCTGGTTTGACGCGAGCCTCACCTTCCCATAACCTTCCTACAAAATTGCTGCCCCCTGGCTGCCGAACTGGGCCTTGGTATACATTTGCCAAATCTCGAGGGTTCAATTCAAATGTTCACCTGCTGAAGCGAACACTCCCCCCAGATATTCCTAAATCACCGGCTTTGTTCTGCAGGCGGACAATTTCCAGAATCTGGGTCCTCAGAATCTTCGTTGATAAGTCATCATTTGCTTATCTAGGTTTGGTGATACGGGCGTTCCTGCCAAACCTACTTGCGCCAAATTTGACGCTTCAGCCTGCAGAACACCACTTTTGGGGCGCAGAGATTTAACCGTCTGCTGGCTCGAAGTAGTTTCTTCGCCGGGCAAAAGGTCGCACAACTAGTGCGCTGCTGATTCCCCCTCGAGAGCTAGCATCAGCCAGCGCACAAGTTATGCGGGAACAAATTGCGGGAATGCATTTGGCTGTGTGGGGCTTCGTAGCAACATCCACGCTGCAAATTTTGATTGGGTGCGACAAGAACCTTCTAGGAAAGACTTGCCCGTACATTTTGTGCGGAGGCAAGTCCTCCTACAGAACAAAGCCACTGAGTAACCCCGAGGTCAAAGGTTAACCCCTTTGACAGAAATCCAATTGAATGTGCACCCTTTTAAGTTGCACATTGGTTGCCTCTCGCGAGCAATTGGCAAGAGCACATGCCTGAACGTTCTTTAGATGGCGTTTCAGCACTAACGATGTGTTATGCATCATACTTGGCATCCGTACTTGCAACTTCTGAACTGCTCTTCTTGGCAGTGTTATTATAACAACAAAACACTGTAGCTGAATAAAATATACCATACGTATATATGGGCCGGCAAAACCGTGGCCTCGCTGTCACTCCTTGCAATCACATCCCATTGCAAGCAAGCAGGTACATGCCATGGCACACGGCCAGCAGCAGCAGCAGTGTGTCAGCTTTCCCGTGTCACGTAATCAAGTGCTAGCTTGGCCCGACACTGCAGGGAGCATCAGACAGGAAGGACAGCAAAGCACAGCACAGGCATGTTTGTGCCACCACACACACACAGACCCACATTTGCTCACACACACATGTGTGTCCATGCATGAGGAAGCACAGTGCCTTCCGCCCACTCAACCACTCAACCACCACACATAGAATCACAACAACCTGAGAGCACAAAATCCTCGAAACGACCACACACAAAAGCCAATCCACAGCAACACAAAAGCAGAGAGCGAGTGCAGTGAGAACAAAAGCCTATCCACACAAAATCCTATCTACAACATGGCTCACAGCGATGTCGAATCCCCCTTGCGCTGCCAGCCTCTCCAGCTGCGCCACCACGCCCTCTGCTGCCCTCACAGCAGCAGCTCGCCTGTCAGCCCCCGGGCAGGCGGGGCGGCAGAGGTTGGTGAGGCACCAGAGAGAGGCCAGGCGCAGGGATGTGCAGCCTTGCAGGCGTAGCAGGTGCAGGATGAGTGGGGGAGGGGCGGACGAGAGGCGTGCGGAGGGCAGGGAGGGGGTAGTGTTGGGATGGGGTGGGCTGGACGGCGGGCGGTGGTGGAAGGGATGCGGGGCAAGGGTGGCTGCCAGCGCTTTTCCTTTTCCCTCTCGCCCCTTGATACTGCCAGCAGCAGAAGCACCACCAGCAGCAGAAGCACTAGCACTTGAGCCTGCAGCACTGCATGCGACCGCCTTTGCTCCACCTGCTTCCACGTTCCCTGGTGTATCACACGCGGCTGCTTCACTCCCTGCGCCTCTCCCTGCGCCTGCCGGCCAACACGCTTCAAACTGCCAGACCTTGGCAGCGGGCAGCAGCAGCAGCGCCAGCACGCAGTCCTTGGCCTGTGCGCCCCCTGCTGCCACGTTGCTGAGAGCCAGCATGGCCTGGTGGGATGCGGGTAGGGCAGCAGGGAACAGGTTGGGGGGATATTCTGAGTCGACTCACATACACCCGCTGCCACGTTGCTGAGTCAACATGGCCTGGCGGAGTGCAGAGAAATGGAGAGCAGCACAAGGGACCATGATTCCACGAAGCAGAAGGTAGGAGAGGTAGAAAGAGCAGCAGCACGGCCACGCACCTCTACTCGCACGGCATACTGTGCTCGCCGCACTGCCGCCAAATCTGCCTCCGCATCCCCCCCACCCTCCTCTGCACCCCCTCTCACTCCTCCTCTTCCCGCGTCTCCCCCTACGGCGGGTCTGAGAAGCACGGGGCGGGCGGGCAGCAGTTTGGCGGCGAGGAGGCGCAGGAGGGTGCCGTGGAGGGCAGCGGGGGCCAGCAGCAGGTGGGCGTCGTCCTCTGCTCCGTGCGCCACGTTGCGCAGCAGCGCTGCCGCCTGCACCTGCACGCTCGCCCAGGGAGCTGGAGGGAGAAGGCCGGGAGGGGTGCAGAGTGGTTGAGGTAGGGCAACGATGGTAAGACAATGGGTGGCAGAGAGGTTGGAGGTGGCAGCGGGTGATAGCAATACAGAAGCAGACAGGTGAGCACTTGGTGGAGAGGATGAGATAGAAGGTGAAGCACGAGGCAGGCACGCACCCAGCAGCAGGGCGGGCAGGGTAGCGGGCAGCATGAGGGCGAGCAGCTGCTGCTTCACGGCGGTGGTGGCGGAGTGAGCCACGTTGCGCAGCACCATCACACTGCGCTCCACCACCTGCACTGCTACCCGCCCTCTCCCCCACTCCTCCCCCCCCACACTCCCCACCCCACACCCCTCCACACTCCCCTCCATTCTCCCCTTCGCACTCCTTTCCACACCCCCTTCCACGCCCTCCTCTCGCATGCACCCCTCCTGCCCCCCTGCGCCCCCAGCTGCCAGGTGGGCCATGCGGGAGAGCAGCCCGGCGTGCACGAGAGCACCCGTGTCGCCACGGAAGTCCAGCAGCAGATTGGCCAATGCTGACACCGCTGGTAGCTGCGGCAAGGTGAGATCATGCGAGAGGAGAGAGGAGGGAAAATTTGTAGTGGCGAATGGTAATGCCGCTGGTAGCTGTGGGGAAGCGTGGTCACGTGAGAAGAGAGAGAATGGAGTGGGAATGTCAAGACAGGAAAGCATACTCGAAACGAGACGAAAGAGAACAATAAAAGTTTTTCAACGTCTAGTGTTGGTTGGCCAAGGCTGCCAGTGCTGCTGGCTGGGGGGGCTTGGGGGTGAGGAGGTGAGGCTTAGAGAGGCTTGGGGGAAAGAGGATGTGCGAAACACGGTGGGGATGGGACGGGACGGGGAAGCTAAGGGGGTGGGAGGAAGGGAAGAGGCATTGGAAGGGCGCACCTGGGCAGAGGCATCGGGGGAGGGCGCACCTGGGCAGAGGCATCAGGGGAGGGCACACCTGGGCAGAGGCATCAGCGGAGGGCGCACCTGGGCAGAGGCATCGGGGGAGGGCGCACCTGGGCAGAGGCATCGGGGGAGGGCGCACCTGGGCAGAGGCATCGGGGGAGGGCGCACCTGGGCAGAGGCATCGGGGGAGGGCGCACCTGGGCAGAGGCATCGGGGGAGGGCGCACCTGGGCAGAGGCATCAGGGGAGGGCGCACCTGGGCAGAGGCATCAGGGGAGGGCGCACCTGGGCAGAGGCATCAGGAGAGGGCGCACCTGGGCAGAGGCATCAGGGGAGGGCGCACCTGGGCAGAGGCATCAGGGGAGGGCGCACCTGGGCAGAGGCATCAGGAGAGGGCGCACCTGGGCAGAGGCATCAGGGGAGGGCGCACCTGGGCAGAGGCATCAGGGGAGGGCGCACCTGGGCAGAGGCATCAGGGGAGGGCGCACCTGGGCAGAGGCATCAGGGGAGGGCGCACCTGGGCAGAGGCATCAGGGGAGGGCGCACCTGGGCAGAGGCATCAGGGGAGGGCGCACCTGGGCAGAGGCATCAGGGGAGGGCGCACCTGGGCAGAGGCATCAGGAGAGGGCGCACCTGGGCAGAGGCATCAGGGGAGGGCGCACCTGGGCAGAGGCATCAGGGGAGGGCGCACCTGGGCAGAGGCATCAGGGGAGGGCGCACCTGGGCAGAGGCATCAGGGGAGGCGGCGAGGTTGAGTACGGCGAGGATGATGGGCGCCGTGGACAAGCCTGTGCGCAGATTCTGAGCAGACCCGTGTGGAGGGGACGGGGGGGGAGGGGGAAGGGGGTTTAGTTAGTCTGAGAGGGTTTAGTCTGAGAGGGTTTAGACTGAGAGGGTTTAGACTGAGAGGGTTTAGACTGAGAGGGTTTAGACTGAGAGGGTTTAGACTGAGAGGGTTTAGACTGAGAGGGTTTAGACTGAGAGGGTTTGTGGAGGCAGACCTGGGCGATTTGAACAGCCGCAAGTTGACGTTGAAGTGGTGGATGGTGATGTGAATGCCCGCTCTGCAAACTACTCAACGAAAGAACTTTACATGTACCTAATTATCACTCGAGTATTTGAAATCGGAGGCAAGCAAGGAGACGGGCACCTTGAGGGGCACCTTGAGGGGCACCTTGACCTTGACGGGCACCTTGACGGGCACCTTGTAGAATGCCTCCCCAAAACTGGAAGAGGTCGACTATGAATGCCCACACTGCAAAATACTCATGAACTCTAAATGTGTACTTGACTCTCGCTCGACTAGTTGAAATGTACCGGCGGTGACAAGCAAGGAAATCGGCACCTTGATGGAGCGCGAGAGTGAGTGTAGGCAGGAGCACGCAGCGGCGCGTAGGGGCATGGGCTGGGAGGCGTCCAGGCAGCGCAGCAGCGGCTGAAGCACCTGTGGGCATGGACGGCGGGGGTCGGTGGGGAAGAAATGGGGAGAAGGGGAGCGGAGCGAGAGAGAGGGAAGGAACAAGCATCTTGAAACACAATGTGCAGCGTGCTGTGCTTGTTCTCACCTGCACCAGGCATCACCTGCAACTGCCATCACCGCACTGCACCGGGTATCACCTTGAGGTCGAGCGCCTGGCGGCGGATGGGCTCCCACGAGGAGCATAGCACCGCTAGTGCCGCCGCTGCACTCTCCCTCTGCACCGCACTGCGTTCCACCGCCACCGCACTGCCCTCCCCCTCGCTCCTCCCCTTCTCCCCTCCCCGCACACTCCCTCCTCCGTCCTCACTCCTCCAGCCCAGGCCCTCCCCACTCCCCCTCCGTGCCTCTCTCCCCTCTCTCCCCTCGCGCCCCCCTCGCACCCTCGTTCCTTCACCCCATGCCATCCATCGGCGAGACGGGAATTCAGCACTCTCCCTTCGCCCCACTCCGCTCAGCCATCCACGGGAGGCCCTAGGCTCAGTGAATACCAAGCCGTTGGAGGTCGGCTCGGCCAAACCTACGGAACCAAATGTTACAACGGGTGGAGAGCGGGAGAAGAGTGGTCTGGTGGCAGCGGCAGTGGGGGGAGACGAGGAGGAGGGGATGAGCGGGGAGGGGAAGGATGGAAAGGTGGGGATGGGAGGTGGGGAGGAGGAGGAGGGGATTGGAAAGGCAGAGGAGGAGGTGATGGGAAGCGAGGAAGAGGAGGTGATGGGGGGCGATGAAGAGGCGGCGGGGGCGGGGCGGAGCAGAGCGACGAGCTCCGAGGCCGCGTGGGCGTTGAAGGCCGCCCACTGCACGTCCTCCCTGCCGCCCAGCAGCTGCTGCAGTAGCCCTGGCGCCTGCTCGCCCACCTGGTGAAGAGGAGGGAGTGGGAGCAGGGAGACATGGAAAGGGCTTGCGGGAGAAGGTGGGAGAGGTTGCAAACACCAGAAGAGACCAATGGGCTGATGAACAACAGCTAGAGAGCACTAGCGCTCGCTAGATCATGTCCACCTGCACATGCCTTCCAAATGGCAAATGCTTTCCAAAATGGTCTAGGCTGGCAAATGATTTCCAAAAAGGTCAGTGCACGAGGGGAATGGCAGGCATGGTGCATGGACTTGCGACAACAAGGGAAGGATGCGGCGTGAGCAGAGTGAGGAGGCATAGAGTGATGAGGGGCTGACCTGGTCGGGGAGAGGCAGCAGGTTGATGAGCGCCACCAGCACCACCGCCGCCACGTTCACATCCACCGCCGCCGCCGCCCCCACGCCCACTCCCATGCCCACACCCACCCCCACGCGCATCGGCCTCTCGCCACAGGCAGCCGTAGCAGGTGTGAGCGCGGTGGCAGGCATGTGGGGCCCTGTGCGAGGGGACAAAAGCGCCCCACACACCACATGCTGTGCCCGCCCCTCCTCACCCTCCCGCCCACATGCCGCCTGCTCGTGACCCTGCTGTCGCAACCACGTGCCCCGATCGCCCTTGGTCATCCCGCCTGCCTTCAACCCGCCCCATGCATCCCGTTTCACTCCACCCCCACGCCCACCCGCCCTCCCATTCCCATCACTGGCAATGCTTGCGCTGCCGCTGCCGCTGCTGCGTGCAACCCGCTCAACCCTCCCCCTCGCAGCCGCTGCTGCAGCTGCTGTGGCAGGGGATGGGGCGCCAGCAGCACAGACAGGGGCAGTAGCGGTGGTGGCAGGTGGAACAGCGGTGGTGGCAGGTGGAACAGCGGTGGTTGCAGGAGCAGGCAGGGCAGCGAGGGCGGGAGCGGGGTGCTGGAGGAAGGAGCGCGGCACGGCAGTGATGGCACCGCCGTGCGGCCAGAGGGCTGCCTCGACGTGCAGCAGGCAGCGGCACGCGTTGAGCCGCGTGGCGGGCGATGGATGGCGCGTGAGGCTCACCACCGCTGCCAACGCTGCTCCCCCACCCATGTCTGCAGCAGGAACGGGAAAGAGGTTGGGTAATGGCAAGTTGCGGGAGGGAGGGGGGAAGGAAGGGGTGGGGAAGGGGCGGAAGGGATGGGAGTTGAGGAAGAAGCGGTGAAAAGGAACAGTGAGTGCGATGCGAGTGAGCCATGTGCGCATGGAGTGAGTGAGAAGATGGTGGTTTGAACCGATGGCGAACAAGGGCATGCAGAGCCGTGGCCCCACATGCAGCAAGCAACAGAAGCGCAATGAATACACACATGCACCCGCGAGAGCAGTGGCCTGCTCCCAGTTGCCCCTAACAGCCGCTGCGAGGGCGAGCAGGCGTGTGAGTGACAGAAACCCACCTGTCTCTGCCAGCGCTGCCTGCATGCACACCCACACACACCTACAAGAGCAGCAGCCTGCTGCCGGTTGCCTTTAACAGCCGCTGCTAGGGCGAGCAGAGCGGCGTCGGTGCAGCGCGGTGACGAGGCGAGCAGGCGTGTGAGGGAGAGCAGCCCATCCGCCGCTGCTAGTGCTGCCTGCTGCTGTGGCGAGTGCACACAGTGCGCTGCCACACTGGCTGCCACCTAGTGGGGGCGGTGTGGGAGGCGTGGGGGGTTGGGGGGTGGGGGGTTGGGGACAGAGGGAGGGGGTTGGGGCAGTGGGGACAGGGGGAGGGGTGTGCTTTTGAGGCGTCCCAAGAGCTGCCTGCTGCTGCGGCCAGTGCACACAGTGTACTGCCACACTGGCTGCCACACTGGCTGCCACACTGGCTGCCACACTGGCTGCCACACTGGCTGCCACACTGGCTGCCACACTGGCTGCCACACTGGCTGCCACACTGGCTGTCACACTGGCTGCCACACTGGCTGCCACACTGGCTGTCACACTGGCTGCCACACTGGCTGCCACACTGGCTGCCACACTGGCTGTCACACTGGCTGCCACACTGGCTGTCACCTGGTGAAGAAGGGAAAGGCGGGGTGGGGGGGGCATGCTTGGGAGTGCAGTGGAGACCTGGGCTTGAGAGGCGAGGAATATGCATGGTGGTGCGCGAGGTTGACCACACGCAGTGTGGTTACATACAGTGTGCGAGGCGAGGAAATATGCATGTGCGTACATTATTGCTCGGTGATTCCTTTCCATGCTCGCAGTGTGGTTACCACAGTAACGACATGCACACTCACCTCGGACACAGTCTCGTTGGGGGAGGCGAGCAGGGACGGCAGCAGGCTGAGGGCAGGCGAGAGCCAATCCCCTGCAGCAGTGCTGCCACGTGGCAGCGCAGGAGTGGACTGGAAGATCAAACGCAGCGACCGTGCAGCTGCCTCCACCACCTGTGTGTTGCAAAATGTGCAGAGAGGCGCAAAGCGGGGCAGATAGGCGCAGATTTCTGAGTCGAGTCGAAGATCAAACACACGCAGTGACCTTGCAACAGCCTCCATCAGCTGTTTTCCGCAGGGGAACGGAAGAAAAGGGAAGAGCGGGAGGGTTTTGGGGCATTGGCTATAAGCTGAAAGGATAGAATGGGGGAGAGGCGACGAAAGGCATAATCGCTGACAGAGGGATCATGGCAGATTGAATCAAAAGCGAGTCCGAACGTGTAAACGGGGGGATTGTGAAGCCTCAAAAGCAAGATAGATTATCTACGAGGAGCGAGAACAGAGAAGTGCTTCACCCTGGCAGCATAAGGCGGCAACAGCTGGGAGTGGTGGCGGCTACGCGATGCGGCAACTGAAAGCAAAGCAAAAGAATGAAGCATATAGGGATGTCCATGGCATGTACACGGCGTATCCGCCCATGGCATGGCGTGGCAGCACGCGGGCAGGGCGTCACCTTGGCATGGGGGTGGAGCAGGCAGCGCAGCAGAGGCAGCACGGCCCCAGCTGCCAGCACAGCATGCACGCCCTCCGGCAGCCCACACGCCAAACTGCCCACCGCCGCCGCCGCCTGCTGCACCTCCTCCGCGCCCCACGCCCCCTCTTCCCCCTCCGCCCCCACCGTTCCCTCCAGCATTGCCACCAGCCTGAAGGGCACAACGCACGGCAGACAGACAGGCATGGCAGGTAGGAAGGCAGGCAGGCAGGCAGATAGGCAGGACGGTAGGAAAAGGCAGCAAGGTAGGAAAAGGCAGGAAGGTAGGAAAAGGCAGGAAGGTAGGAGGGCAGGCAAGTAAGCAGGCAGGCAAGCAGTCAGGAAGGCCAAGGCCACAATGAGAAAGCAGGGTCAAGGAGAAACGGACGAAAGGCATCGTGGCCCACAAGGAAGAAACCCACTTCCCAGAAACCCAAACCACTCCTCACCGCAGTGACTCAAACCACTCCCCACCGCAGTCACTCAAACCACTCCCGCTGAACCAGTGCCCGTCACAGAATCGGATGGAGTGGGAACGGAGATGCGGAAGAAGCAGGGCGCGGAAACAGTAGGGCGCGGAAACAGTAGGGCGCGGGGTGGGGCGGTGGTACGGAGAAAGGGACGCGTGCAGCCGTGGTTTTGGGGAAGGGAGGGAGCCGGGAAGGAGGCGCGGGAAAGAGGGCGGCGCGACGCGCGGAGGAGGGGGATGCGCAGAGGAAAGTTGCGCGAGAAGGAGGGAGGCGCACGAGGAGGGAGGCGCGCGGGGAATAGAGGCGCGCGGGGAAGAGAGGCGCGCGGGGAAGAAAGGTGCACCTGGGCATGGCTCGCAGGCGGATGAAGGCGAGCTTGCGCGTGCGGCTGCCGATGGCGGCGTTCTTCACGTCGCGCACCGCCCGCAACCGCACCTTCGCGTCGCCCGCCGCCAGCCCCGCCACCAGCTCCTCCGCCCGCCCCGCCCGCCGCCATGCCTCGCCAGGACGGCTCGTCGCTGCCGCTGGCATGTCGGCGCGACGCGGTATAATGATTTTTTTTTTTAGAGGCCCGGAATAATGAGTTCCAAGCGCTGCTGTACGTGCGCCACACTCGCTCTGTCTGCCGCTGTACTTGCGTGTGTATGCATGGCTGTGAGTCGCGATTGGGGCGAGTTGCTACACTGAAATATCGAACACAGCAAGTGGTTTTTTCATATCGGGGAGGTGACGAAGAGCAAGATCCAAGATGCTATACAAGATGAGTTGCGGCAATTTGTTATCACTTGTACAAGTCAATGTTCATATTCATACATATACACAAACATATATACATATATACACACATATATATAGCATATGTTTAGGGCTCGGGCATAAGAGTTTAACAACACAGGGAAATAATGTCATTTGGGAAGGATATTCCATGCATATGCGAAATGTGTCCCGTATTTAGGGTTCATTCGTCCAGAATTGCATGTCTTTCTTAGGTTTATTGCCTTTGCTCCTAACCTAAACACTAATCATCATTGGTGCTATGAATTGTCAAACTGATTGCGCCGAATAACAAAGCAGTAACTAGCTAGGCAGGGGGAACAGGATTGGGTGCAATTTGGGCAAGGGAAAGCCGAAGGCGATACGTCGGTGTCAAGAATATCAGCTAAGCCTGAAAGTCTAAGAGTTTGGGTACGCGATGCAGTACAATCCCGGTAAGGAACATAAAACTCTCTATACAACACCCTTCCAACAAATATGATAAATATCGGCCATACGCTTACGGGCGAGATTATGCCGAAATCGCGAAAATACATCAAATGTGGCTGATAGGGCACAATGTCGTCCTAACTGGTAAAATCGGTCTATCTGATAATAAAATCCACATGATGTCCAGTCGAACCAAGCCAAAGACAGGGCCCCAAGATTTCGACGGGCCGGGTGTTGGTTCTTGCATTAGGGGAACAATGAGGCCTGTCAGAAACTAACGAGCAGGAATGAATGCATTGATCAGTATTGTGGTACAAGAACTAAACCTAATTGGGTTGTACCCCATATAGGCTACCCCACTACAAGCTACACAACACAAGCAACATTATAGTTTGACACACCCCGATAGGCAAAGTGGGGAAGAACAAGGGGTCACAAGACCAGTCAAGAAAAGCAAAGCAAGCTCAGGGTGGATCACGAAGTCACCACGCATTCTAAGCACAGACAAATGGCCACAAGGCCAGTTCACATGCAGAGTTATATAAAGGAGAACAAGAAGTACAGTGATCACAACCTAGCAAGTCTAAGCATGCAGGTACATGTATATAGATCACAGTACAAACAAAGTCAAGAAGTGAGCAAGTGAGACCAAGTAGGCACAAGGCCTAGAACAGTACAGAAACGCTGATGATCACAAGGCTGAAGTGCCTTGGTGAAGATATCAGCAGTGTTGGCCCGAGAGGCCACGTAAGCAAGACGAAGCTGACCACGCTGCTGCAACTCTCGAGCAAGGAAGTAGCGCAGAGCGATGTGCTTCGTTCTGTGCTCCAGTCTGTGCTCCTGACACAAAGCAATCATGGCCTTGTTGTCGACGTACAGGACTGGAGGAGAACGAGGCGGCTCTCCCAAGTCTGTCAGCAGGTAGGTGAGCCAGCGTAACTCCTGTGCAGCCATGGCCCCTGCGTAGATCTCAGCCTCACAACTGGAGCTGAGAACAGAAGACGAGCGGGTAGACCGCCAAGAAACAGAGCCAGAGCCAAGGCTGAAGGTGCAACCCTGTGACGACTGCTGCGTAGCCAAGTCGTCAACCCAAGAAGCGTCGGCGTGTCCATGCCTGACGTACTGCACAAGTAGCGCAATACCCTCTTAGCGGCCTTCCAGTGCTCTGGTCAGTGTCTCCCAGGCTCAACGTAGCGTGCCAGGATGCTAAGAGGGTAGGCAAGGTCAGGTCGAGTGCAGGTCATCAGGTACATGAGGCAGCCCACAAGCTCTGGATACGGGCCACTCGGCTCTACGGACTCGTCCGAAGGTGGAACTGAGAGCGAGTGACCGGTAGGCAGAGGAGTGGACTGTGGCGAGGGGTACTGGAAGTCGAAGCGCTGAAGGACCTGCTGCACCATGTGTAACTAAGTCAAGGTAATGGTGCGCCGTGCTCTGTCCCGGGTGATCTGCAAGCCAAGATAGCTGCGCAGCTCACCCAGGTCTGTGCACGTGTGTCTCTTCTGCAGCTCCGCCTTCACTAGGGCCAGTCCCTCAGTGTAAGCAGTGGCAAAGACCAAGTTGCGACGTACACGAGGATGTAGAATTGCGGCAGCCAAGTGTCGGTGCGCAGAAACAGCGACGGGTCAGCAGTCGAAGGAGCAAACCCAAGAGCCGCAAGTGTCGTCCTCATGGTGTCGTGCCACTCACGAGGCGCCTGGCGGAGACCGTAGACTGGCTGCCGGAGGCTCCACTGGGTACCTGCAGGAAACGACCCAGTGAAGCCAGGTGGGCGGCCCAGCCAGATCTCCTCGTGCAAGGTGCCCTGTAAGAAAGCTGTGCTGAAGTCAAGAGAGTGAAGCTCGTAGTCACGCCGAGCAGCGACGTGCAGCAGTACCCCGAAGAGTAGTCATCTTTGGGGTAGGGGAGAAGGTCTGGAAGAAATCAACTCCCTGTCGCTGACTGAAGCCTCGTGCAACGTAACGAGCCTTGAAGGCAGGCGGAGAACCCGACGGCCGCTTCACCCTGAAAAACCACATGCCATCGACTATGTTCGCCCCAGGAGGGGGAACTGCGTCGACGTAAGTGCCTGTGGACTTCCAGGATGCCATCTCTACGTCCATGGCTGTCTGCCACTGAGAGGAGTAGGGACCCGTAATCGCCTCTGCATAAGAGCGCGGGGTCGGGATGTCTGGTGCATCCGGGTCTCCCTCAGGTGCAATCAGCATGAACACGAGATGAGGTACAGCAGCTGCAAAACACTCAAAGTCCTCCTGCCTGTCCTCAAGGACGTCCGTGCCAAGAGCACACTCACCCCCGATGGACGGAGGACAAGAATAGCGGCGTAGTCGAGACGACTGGCGGCAGCAAAGTCAACAAGCTCAGCAACTAGGGCAGACGCAGCAGTGGACTCAAACGAAGGGTCAGTGACAATAGTGGCCAGAAGACGTGTGACAGTAGGACTAGCAGCACGAAGTGAGTCAGACTCAGGGTCCGGTCCGTCAGCAAGAGAGGACGCAGGAGGAGACGGCAGGGGGACACGCTGTGGAACAGAGGAAGGACGAAGTGCCATATGGTGCGTGCCGGGGACAGGAGGAGGGCGCTGACGAGGAGCACGACGACCGGTGCGAACAGCGCGAACTGGCGAGGCAGGACGAGTTGCAGGCTCACGACGCTCTGTAAGACCTCCGGTCTGCTCAGTGTAGGGAGAAGGAGCAGGCAGTGGGGAGGCTGGCCGTAACTGCGGTTGTGACTGGTCAGGCGGTGGACACAGTAAGGGAGGAGTAAGGCCAGTAGAAGACGGGAGACCAAGAACCTGCTGAATCAGGGGAACGAAGTACGGTCGCGGCCGCACAGTGCCTCAAGAACCAGCACCAACAGCACCAGCACCCCCAGGGCCAGCGCCTCCAGCTCTGGGGTCTCCAGCTCCAGGGTCTCCATGTGCGTTCATGAATGTTCCGAGCTTCATGATAGCTCATGTTTTTTCATGAGCGTTGGTTGTGATTGTCGAGTGTGTTGGGTGTGGGGCTCGAGTCTTTGACCAGCTCCGTTGACCATTTCGCACTGGTCAAGTAAAAAGTGCGCGAAGTCAGGACCCGCGCGTGGGGTCCTGACATGCGCGTGTGGCCTCACAGGGCCCACGCGTGTGTCGCTACTGTTTCGATCGTGCATTGTGCGCACGATCGCTACAGGACGGAGCGACATGATCGCTCCATCACGTGGAGGACAACGCACAATCGTGTCAGCGATTGTTTTGTCCTGCACGACCGAGAAATATCTCGGTCGTGATGAAGGGCACGTGGGGCACTCGGGATTTCACAGTTGACTAACAGGATTTCGCGCTGACTTGGCGTGCAAGAAAATTCGCCAGAAAGTCGCGCTGCTTTGCGTCATTATTTCGACAGAGGTACAAAACTGTAAAGTCTGTTTCGTAACTGAAAACGGGAAACCCACACGAGTGTTCATGATTTGTACACGAGCGATCATGAATGTTCATGAGGGGAGCCGGCAAGAGAATTTGGCAGCAGTGCAGTTTGAAAATAATTATTCTACATAGGCAAATCAAGCCAAATTCAAGAGCAGTTTAACAACCGTTTTCAATTACAGCAAGGCAAAGACCTGGACGACAGTTAGACAACTGCCTTGAGTGTTTCCTTTGTGTGCCTAGGCCTTATGATATGTGTGTGTTTGTATTTGCTTGAGTCCATAATAATGCCCATATGATTTTCAAGCTTACATCTACAACTACGTATTGACGAGAGTAGAAACGTAACTTGGGACTGCTGAAATTCTGCTCGACCAGAATGCTCACTCTACAAGCTAGGTTGAGAATAACTACTCACTTGTTTTTCTACGCCTTTGGCTATGAGGTGACATGTTGTCACACTCGGGGGGTCACAAGTGATGTTAAGTGTTGCCTAGCTTATGCTTGTGATCTGAGTTTAATCGCTTGCGCAGAGTAGTTAGAGTCCACACGTGGTATCAGAGCTGGTACTTAGTAGCCTTCGACGCATCCAACAATGGGACCGGCTAGAGAAGAAGGGAATTCAGCCCCCGCGAGTAGTGGCAGCCAGGAATCCGGTGTCTCCGCGATAGCCCGGACGAGCCAGGGCCCACTACCAAGGAAGGTGCTGAAGAACTTTTCAGTCGACAAGTTTAGTGGAGAGGGCTATGATGACTAGTCTTGGAAGATGGACCTGTAGTTTCGGCAGATAGGCCTTTTAAAGCTCATGATAGGGACTGAGAAACGGCCGAGTATCCCGGAGCAACAGAACGAGTGGGACGAGCGTTCATTCGCCGGGTACTACATCCTGTCTCAAAGCTTGGATCTCGCCCAACGCCAGCACATC